TTTCAAAACAGCCTGACAATGATTGTACTGCTTCTGAAATTATTTCTATTTTGCAATCTTCTTTGGTAATCGAGGCAAGCAATCTTGAATTGTCTCTTCATTTGAAGTTATTGAACCCCGACTTTTATATTAATAAGACAGAAAGGCCAATAATGCAACAGACTGATCTTAGATTTCAGGCTGATGTTTTATTTCAAAACAGCTGACAATGATTATACTGCTTCTGAAATTATTTCTATTTTGCAATCTTCTTTGGCAATCGAGGCAAGCAATCTTGAATTGTCTCTTCATTTGAAGTTATTGAACCCCGACTTTTTATATTAATAAGACAGAGAGGCCAATAATGCAACAGACTGATCTTAGATTTCAGGCTGATGTTTGTTTCAAAACAGCTGACATTGATTGTACTGCTTCTGAAATTATTTCTATTTTGCAATCTTCTTTTTGGTATTCGATGCAAGCTATCTTGAATTGTCACGTTATTTGAAGTTATTGAACTTTTATCTTAATAAGACTGAGAAGGCCAATGAGGCAACAGACTGATCTTAGATTTCAGGCTGAGGTTTGTTTGAAAAGAGCTGCCATTGATTGTATTGCTTCTGAACTTATTTCTATTTTGCAATCTTTTTTGGTAATCGAGGCAAGCAATCTTGAATTGTCTCTTCATTTGAAGTTATTGAACCCCGACTTTTATCTCAATAAGACTGAGAAGGCCAATAACGCAACAGACTGATCTTAGATATCAGGCTGATGTTTGTTTCAATACAGCTACCATTGATTGTACTGCTTCTGAAATTATTTCTATTTTGCAATCTTCTTGGGTAATCGATGCAAGCTATCTTGAATTGTCTCGTTATTTGAAGTTATTGAACCCCGACTTTTATCTTAATAAGACAGAGAAGGCCAATAATGCAACAGACTGATCTTAGATTTCAGGCTGATATTTGTTTTAAAAGAGCTGCCATTGATTTTTGGAATCTTCTTGGATAATCGAGGCAAGCTCTCTTGAATTGTCTCGTTATTTGAAGTTATTGAACCCCGACTTTTATCTTAATAAGACTGAGAAGGCCAGTAACGCAACAGACTCATCTTAGATATGAGGCTGATGTTTGTTTCAAAACAGCTGCCATTGGTTGTACTGCTTCTGAAATTATTCCTATTTTGCAATCTTCTTTGGTAATCTAGGCAAGCTATCTTGAATTGTCTCGTTATTTGAAGTTATTGAACCCCGACTTTTATCTTAATAAGAAAGAGAAGGCCAATAATGCAACAGACTCATCTTAGATATCAGGCTGATGTTTGTTTCAAAACAGCTGCCATTGATTGTACTGCTTCTGAAATTATTTCTATTTTGGAATCTTCTTGGATAATCGAGGCTAGCTCTCTTGAATTGTCTCGTTATTTGAAGTTATTGAACCCCGACTTTTATCTTAATAAGAATGAGAAGGCCAATAACGCAACAGACTCATCTTAGATATGAGGCTGATGTCGTTTCACAACAGCTGCCATTGATTTACTGCTTCTGAAATTATTTGTATATTGCAATCTTCTTTGGTAATCGAGGCAAACTATCTTGAATTGTCTCTTCATTTGACGTTATTGAACCCCGACTTTTATCTTAATAAGACTGAGAAAGCCAATAACGCAACAGACTCATCTTAGATATGAGGCTGATGTTTGTTTCAAAACAGCTGCCATTGATTGTACTGCTTCTGAAATTATTTCTATTTTGCAATCTTCTTGGGTAATCGAGGCAAGCTATCTTGAATTGTCTCTTCATTTGACGTTATTGAACCCTGACTTTTATCTTAATAAGGCTGAGAAGGCCAATAATGCAACAGACTCATCTTAGATATCAGGATGATGTTTGTTTCAAAACAGCTGCCATTGATTTACTGCTTCTGAAATTATTTGTATATTGCAATCTTCTTTGGTAATCGAGGCAAACTATCTTGAATTGTCTCTTCATTTGACGTTATTGAACCCCGACTTTTATCTTAATAAGACTGAGAAAGCCAATAACGCAACAGACTCATCTTAGATATGAGGCTGATGTTTGTTTCAAAACAGCTGCCATTGATTGTACTGCTTCTGAAATTATTTCTATTTTGGAATCTTCTTGGATAATCGAGGCAAGCTCTCTTGAATTGTCTCGTTATTTGAAGTTATTGAACCCCGACTTTTATCTTAATAAGTATGAGAAGGCCAATAACGCAACAGACTGATCTTAGATTTCAGGCTGATATCGTTTCAAAACAGCTGCCATTGATTTACTGCTTCTGAAATTATTTGTATATTGCAATCTTCTTTGGTAATCGAGGCAAGCTATCTTGAATTGTCTCTTCATTTGACGTTATGGAACCCCGACTTTTATCTTAATATGACTGAGAAGGCCAATAACGCAACAGACTCATCTTAGATATGAGGCTGATGTTTGTTTCAAAACAGCTGCCATTGATTGTACTGCTTCTGAAATTATTTCTATTTTGGAATCTTCTTGGGTAATCGAGGCAAGCTATCTTGAATTGTTTCTTCATTTGACGTTATTGAAACCCGACTTCATCTTAATATGACTGAGAAGGCCAATAATGCAACAGACTGATCTTAGATTTCAGGCTGATATTTGTTTTCAAAGAGCTGCCATTGATTTTTGGAATCTTCTTGGGTAATCGAGGCAAGCTATCTTGAATTGTCTCTTCATTTGACGTTATCGAACCCCGACTTTTATCTTTATAAGACTGAGAAGGCCAATAACGCAACAGACTGATCTTAGATATCAGGCTGCTGTTTGTTTCAAAACAGCTGCCATTGATTGTATTGCTTCAGAAATTATTTCTCTTTTGGAATCTTCTTGGGTAATCGAGGCAAGCTATCTTGAATTGTCTCTTCATTTGAAGTTATTGAACCCCGACTTTTATCTTAATAAGACTGAGAAGGCCAATAACGCAACAGACTGATCTTAGATTTCAGGCTGATGTTTGTTTCAAAACAGCTGCCATTGATTGACTCCTGAAATTATTCCTATTTTGCAATCTTCTTTGGTAATCTAGGCAAGCTATCTTGAATTGTCTCGTTATTTGAAGTTATTGAACCCCGACTTTTATCTTAATAAGAATGAGAAGGCCAATAACGCAACAGACTCATCTTAGATATGAGGCTGATGTTTGTTTCAAAACAGCTGCCATTGATTGTACTGCTTCTGAAATTATTTCTATTTTTGCAATCTTCTTGGGTAATCGAGGCAAGCTATCTTGAATTGTCTCTTCATTTGACGTTATTGAACCTGACTTTTATCTTAATAAGGCTGAAAGGTCAATAATGCAACAGACTCATCTTAGATATCAGGCTGATGTTTGTTTCAAAACAGCTGCCATTGATTATACTGCTTCTGAAATTATTTCTATTTTGGAATCTTCTTGGATAATCGAGGCAAGCTCTCTTGAATTGTCTCGTTATTTGAAGTTATTGAACCCCGACTTTTATCTTAATAAGAATGAGAAGGTAATAACGCAACAGACTCATCTTAGATATGAGGCTGATGTTTGTTTCAAAACAGCTGCCATTGATTGTACTGCTTCTGAAATTATTTCTATTTTGCAATCTTCTTGGGTAATCGAGGCAAGCTATCTTGAATTGTCTCTTCATTTGACGTTATTGAACCCTGACTTTTATCTTAATAAGGCTGAGAAGGTCAATAATGCAACAGACTCATCTTAGATATCAGGCTGATGTTTGTTTCAAAACAGCTGCCATTGATTGTACTGCTTCTGAAATTATTTCTATTTTGGAATCTTCTTGGATAATCGAGGCAAGCTCTCTTGAATTGTCTCGTTATTTGAAGTTATTGAACCCCGACTTTTATCTTAATAAGTATGAGAAGGCCAATAACGCAACAGACTGATCTTAGATTTCAGGCTGAAATTATTTCTATTTTGCAATCTTCTTTGGTAATCGAGGCAAGCTATCTTGAATTGTCTCGTTATTTGAATTATTGAACCCCGACTTTTATCTTAATTGAAATCAATTTTTGATAATGGACAATAAAAAACCACAACGATTTTTTTAATTAATCATTGACGAAGCTCTTTTCGAGCCCCCCGTCTGTAGGATACCCATGGATATTCCGTTATTTCATTGTTAAATATGCCAACTTAACAACCTTATGAAATATCTGTCTATATCTCTAAGATGAGTTATTACGATTACTTGGATTATTTACATTATTCCGATTGTTATCCCCTTCTTCATTGTCATATTCACAACGTTTCAGTCTCTGTACATTTCGGCCTTCATCAGTTGATTGGAAGTTCGAATCGAAACCCTTTATTTCTTCCACCGGTGTAGATTGTTCTAGTTCCACGTGTCATGCCTGTTCAGGATGCCTCAGTTATTTCTCATTAACTCAACTCTCCAAGTGGATAAAGGCGTTAGTTAGATCCAGTGACTAGACTCAAAAAGTTGTGAGTTCAATACCAGGCCACAACAATGGTGAACGAAAAAAGTTGGAGATTAGAGTTAAATGGAAATAACTGAGACACCCGGAAGAGGCATGGCACGAGGAACTAGAACCGTCTACCCCGGTAGAGGACATAAAGGGTTCGGTTCGAAATTCCAATCACCTGAATACAATCCTCAGCTAAACAAGAACGGCCCAGTGTTTATCAGGTGTTTATTTTGTAATGTACGTGCTAACTGAGGGACGAATTGATTGATTGGTTCGTTTTTACGGCTTAATTACCCTTTGCAGGTTATTTAGAACCAAAAATATTTTTAGATTATGAAAATGTTTTTATGGACATAATAAAGGTTTAGTGTCTCATTAAGTAATACATATTCGTCGTGGGGGGGCGCAGAAGAGGTGGACTCTAACTTTTCTCAATGGTATTCAGGCGTGTGTTAATATAATGGAAGTCGACACTCCGAATAATAATTCTGTGCCATTATCCATTATACCACCTGAAAATCTAAGCTTACACCACCTCGATGGATAACCACTTGAAAAGTGGTTACCCATCAAGGTACTGACCAGGTTCGACGTTGCTTAACTTCAGTGATCGTACGGGAAGCGGTGTTTCAAAGTGATGTGGCTGTAAGCCATGAGGAACTAATGTACTCGAGGATACCCGTCTACTAGGGCGGCTAGCCAATCCCTATTGCAGACGCTTGCACAGGCGCATTTGTGGTTGTGGAACACCCACAGAGCCAATCTGTGGTTTATACTGCAACTATGCTGAGCAGACCTTAGTTACAGTTTCCGGGAAAGAGCGTGTTATCTAGCCTGGTCAACAATTTGAACAAGCCAGCACACTCAAACCCTCGGCCACGATGACTTTTGACTTCGTGCTAACACAGTTATCGACGTCTCTCAAGAATTCCCTCTACCCAATTTTACTCACAAGGCTTGGGTTAACCCGTGGTATGGTTTTCAGGTATTTTCCAAAGGTGCCACACGCTGAGATCGACCTCTCCAGTGCAACAAATCGACCATGATGAGATTCGAACCCGGGTCTCATGGTTAGAATGTTAAACATATAATATTCTAATACGATATTATCTACATTCGGACAGTTGTCCTCATTTTGTTGTTATCAAAGGGTCAATATTTTAGGAGATTAACGTGTTGGTTCGTGAATTAACTGATATTGTAGTTGTGTGATCAATCTCTTCAGACTTAGACACAGTGGAAACAGGTTGAAGGGAAACAATCTAGCTCTGTTGTTTAAAGCACCTGAAGAAGGCAGGATAGCACAACGGCCGAAACGTTGTGATAATAATAACAAAAATGGTATAAATAATGATAACTCCTCGTCCCAGAAATGCGTGATTATTGTTTGATAGGATGTAAGAAACAATAAAGATACGGACTGTCTCGCCATGGCGTAACTGCTAATGACGATATAAGCTATCTTTGTCGCCATATTTATTACAACGTTTCGGCCGTTGTTTGCTCTAGCCTTCTTCAGGTGGTTGGAATGTCGAACTGAACCCTTTATTTCTCTCACTGTAGTAGACTGTTCTAGTTCCACGTGCCATGTTTAATGGATGTCAGTTATCAGTTATCTCCTCTTAATTCCCCTCTCCAAGTTCTCCACTGCCTTAACCGGGTATTGAACTCACACTCTTTCGGTCTTGTCACTGGATCTAACTAACGCCTTTATCCAATTTATCCAAAGATGAAGACTATAGTCCGAATAATGTAAATAATATACATAATACCTCATCTCAGAAATATAGACAGATAGGATATAAGCTTCTTACAAGTTCTCCAAATATAAAACTCACAAATTGAAATTCCAATATTGCATCGTTAAATATTTGAGCTTCACAGCTTTATGAAACTATTACAATGACAATCATAAACTTGAACAGAGGTCGCTGTTTAAAGAAGTAAGAGGATACAAATGAATGATTCAAATTTCCATTTCACTGAATCAGACATTAAACAAAAGAGAGCATTATCACTTCTTTCTTTCATTCTTTTTTTCTATCTTTCTTTCGTTCTTTCTATCATTTTTCTGTCTGTCTGACATCTCTGATACACCCTTTAGTTTCAACTTTCCTCACAGTCAAAATGTAATGGTTCATTACTTATCTGAAGCAATGGCAGGTTGTGAAATAAGTAGGTCATCAACACAAGATTTCAATGTGGATTAATGGCTGTGCCGCAGAGCGGGGCTAGCCGGAAGTAAACAAAGAGGTTAGAGATTTTCTCTCACCACCGCCACTGTAACAAAGATTTGTGAGTAGGAGACAGGCAAATATTCACGGGACGTAACGCACTTGCTAACCGACTTAACAAACAGAATTAGTATATGATATTCACCTCGGCAATAATAGTTGATCTTTCACCGCAGATCAAGTGACAGCAAATCTCTTGAATGATTCATTGCGTTCCCCAGAATTCTATTTGTTTTTAGTGAAGCAATCGGTTAGAGGTTACCAAATTTTCCACATTGTCCGGAACTGTTCCAAACGTTTCGATAGGGTTAGAGAGTTGCAAAGTTATGTAATATTAGTCCTCCTATGTAGCAGTGAGTGCTGGACATTTTCTTCACAGTTGAAAAGGATATTTGGGGCTCTACAGAAAGATGATAAGAATACCATGGACAAAGCATGTGAGCAATGAGGAAGTCTTAGAATCAGAATTAAACAGTCAGGCATTCCCGGACACATATTTAAGAAACCAACGTATAGCCGAGTGGCAAACGCTGCCGGATCAAACAGCATTTTCCTCGACAAAATGGGACCCAGTTTCGATCTCTGCCGGAGAGCACATTTTCTTTATGAAGATTTTTCAAATGTTCAGGAGGATATATTTATTATTTATTTTAACAGTGTGTTTTACTATATTAATGATTGAAGTCACATTGAATATAAAAATATCAATTTATATAGAAATATATCTATATTTATATAGAAAATATATATATATATATAATTATATATATATATATATATATATATATATATATATATATATATATATATATATATATAATGAACATTGAAGTCAACACTCAAAGCTGACAGACTGTTTGATACTAAACTGAATCATCAGGCCTATATATATATATATATATATATATATATATATATATATATATATATATATATAATTTAGGTATACAGTGTCCATAAAGTTCGTGTGCACTTTAAAAAATTATAACTTTATTTGTATTTGCGATATAAATAATGTGTAAAAAATGATTAGAAAGAAGTAAATCTATATTTTTTTAAGGTTTTATTGAAATTTTATTCAAGTTTCCACATGTCCTCCATCATTAGCAATACAAAGGGTAATACGATTTTGCAGTTCACGGAAAACATTTGCCAACTGATTTACAGTAATACCTTAAATCACATTAGTTATTTTAACTATACTTAAAACTAGGTACATTAAACCTTATAACATTTTTTACAGATTATTTCTATCGCAAATACAAATGTTATAACACGAACTTTATGGACACCCTATATATATATATATATATATATATATATATATATATATATATATATATATATATATATATATATATATGAACTCCTATATTTTGACCATCTATTCACACAAACTCGCTGCTCTCCTCAAACTCTATTGCCCTCAATATGCCCTGTGAGGGTTAAATTTTCCAAGCTTTCCTTTGTCATTCCTTTTATCCCTCCCTTCATTATTTCTCGTATACGTATTTTATTTGTTTTATTTTTTTAATATAATATATTTCTCATAGTGTGAGTTTGATTTTGCCACATGTTTGTTGTATTTTTCAAACCAACCTGTCCATACTTTTGCTCGGAGTACTGTGTAAGTCTTGTTTCCAAAGAAAAAGTAAATTATTTAAATTCTCATTTTTAATCAATACTTGGGCAATGTGTTGTCTTTCAATATCGTGTAAGAGAAACACGCTTTTACGATCAACAAATGATAGGCGCTTTTGCTTCAAACCACCGCGTAATATTTCCAATTATCTTTCACTATCATTCTTTTTTTTCCGTTTAGCACTTAATGATAAACGACGTATTTCGTATCTCACCAAACACAGAACAACTTTTTTGGATGTAGTCCAGATTTTGGAGAGGGATTATCAGTTTTTAATGGTGCTAACTATTGTAATTATTCTTGGATATATTTACAGTGAACCACCTTGTTTTTATTGGTGATGATATTACACAGGAAATGTTCGGTAACAAATCATACGTGAAACTTTTGTACGAGATGCACTGACTAATTTTAGATACTTTTCAGAGTTCATGACGCTGCTTTGAAATCGACAAATGATGTCAAGATGGCTAAACGTCTCATCTGAAAAACTGAAATATATATATATAATAAATTAATTGATTTAAAATATGTTTTTTTCGCTACACAGTTCTAACCATGTTTCAAAAATGGAAGCTAAAAGCTTCGAATTTAATTTTGTAATTAAATTAAAGACATTAATTCCATTAATCCTCTGTAAATTTACATTGAGCACTATTTTGTAAAAATAAAAATATCTATAGGAACACTGGATTATATAACTTACTGTTCTTTCTTTATATATATATATATATATATATATATATGAAGAAATATAGTTTTAAAGTGTGCTATATTTAAGGGATAAAGTGCTCAATATCAGAGATAGAGCGTATGTAAATACAAATATAAAAGTGAACATTGAAGTCAACACTCAGAGGCAACAAGCTGTTTCATGCTAGACGCAATCGTTGTGGCCTGATATATATATATATATATATATATATATATATATATATATATATATATATATATATATATATGTGTGTGTGTGTGTGTGTGTGTGTGTGTGTATCTGTGAGTGTGTATATATATATATATATATATATATATGTGTGTGCGTGTGTATATATATATATATATATATGTGTGTGTGTGTCTGTGTGTGTCTGTGTGTGTGCGTGTGTATGGCGTATGACATTCGACTTCCGACTATGAACCCCTGGCTCGAAACTTATCATGGTCGATCTCTCAGGAAGATGACATCTTGTTGTTGTCGACTTGTGTAGCGTACCTTATCAAAAAAGGCCTGAACACCATAACACTGGTTGTCCCAAACTTGTTAGATGGGACTTTATTAATTAATCAATGCTACGGATCGGAAGCTAATGGAGGATTAAAATAAAGTTCAAACATATATATATATATATATATATATATATATATATATATATAATTCCAGGTTCATTTTTCAACATAGATGATCTTCACCCTCTCTATCTTTCTAACTTTCTGTCCTGGAGTAAACAAGGTGCTTCACGATTTCATTTTGAAGTCTTTTTTTCACTGCTCTTTGGTCTGTCATAGGTGAAACCCCTCTCCCAAAGTCTTATCTATAACTTGAAGTTATGATCACTCTTCCTGTTGTGAACTTCTGATACAGTTTTCCCCTCTACTGTTCCCTCTTTTCTAAAACATATTCCTCGTTCTCTTAATGGTTCTTGAATAGACTCTGAAGATCGAAACCAGAACATGATTGTTGGTATAATTACTCAAGGTCTGAATGATTTTTCCTCTCAACATTGCTCAGTTGAGAAGACAGTGGGGCTGACACAAAACGATTTTTGAAACC